GAGATTTCTTGTGAGGTCTGAAACTTTTCATTTCGTCTACCCTCGGAGAGGAAGAAAGACACATCTAGCGCTACACCAATGCTTTAAGCAGCGCAAATGTCTCACTGCAACGAAGCATATTCAAGTAAAATGCGATCCTGTAGGATCTGTCAAACAAGGTAATTTCAATCAAAAAACCTCTCTAGCTTATGGACATTAGGGTTCTCATTTCTCACTCTCCCAAGAAGAACATCAAGCAGATGGGTACATGCGATTATCTGACTTGTAAAACATACCGTGGAAGTGACGTTCAAAGACGCTTCTGAAAGTCGCTTTGGCTCGTTCAAAGAGGTCATTTTCACTGCAGTGGATGCAGCATCTGTTTCCATCATAATGTCCTTCGTTGAGCACGGAAATTCTCTGAAACTTTTCTCCCGTAACCGTTCTGGGGTAAGAGTCCGCCGGAAAAAACAGTTCCAGAACATTCACGCAGAACGGTTATTTGAGATATGTAGGCTTTTGTCTGTTTAGCTTCCCTAATAGCTGCTCTGAAAGGTGATAGAGTTGCTATATGAGCTCCATCCTCCCTAACTCACAGATTGCGCGCTCCGACCTCTCATCGCATATCTGCGATATGCGGCGGGTGCGGCGAGCGCGACGCGGCATTCGGGAAGAAGATACCGGACCCTCTCACACGTTCTATCTCTCTGAATGAGGTTCATTACTTTCAGCAGGGCGAATCGGAATCCAATCTGTGTGTCACACTCACACTAGCTTATGTACTGTTCTTTTCGTGCTCAATAAATAATTGTTTTTAGAATCAGGAACTGCTCTGCCACCCTCTACATTTCGTTTCCGAAAGCGCTCGTGAGTTATTCGAACACGTGATCGAAGCTTGACACTGCCCCAAATCAACCCAGACAGTCCACGCCCGGATCCTCTAAATGTCCGTCACAATTTGGTTGCTTCAATAGCTACAGGAATGCGTCAAGGCCCAGCTAATCACAGCATTCCCAGTAAGGCCCGCACAGTTATAGTAGTTTCAAAAGGTCGCCCTCACTACGATGACGGCAGAAGCTATTCAATTGATCGACAATCGTTCGCATAACATTTTGTGTAGGATACTCTGAGCTAACTCACATCTTCGACAGCTCAAGTTTTGGAGGTTTGATTGCTCCTTCTCCTCAAGCGCCTTACAACTGGAAAATGATCCATTCTTGTTGGAGTTTTTGGTGAGTAAGGCTCTTTATCAACGGCTTTTATCAGCCTTGATAATACCGAGAAAGTGAAGAAAATGAACAGGAACAGGAAGTCCACTGAAATTGAATATTGTCCTAATTTCTTACTTCGTATAATTCGCCTAGTGTGTGTTTCTGTATGTATGTGTGTGTATGTGTGTGTATGTGTGT